ATCCCGAAACAAGGGCCAGTTCCAACATCCAAATCTAGAATAGCATGGAAGAGTGACAAAAGCACTGAATTGAGAGTGAAAGAACAAAGGTTTGCAGCCTAGCTTTGTCATTATCAGTAGTTCTCTGCCTTCAATCGCTTTACTTCCAAAGCTTCAGTTTCAGCATTAGTAGGACGGAGACAACATAATACCCCTTGTTTTATCAACTTCAACAGGTAGTCATGGGCACACACACATAAAGGTAATATAAGCAACTGGAAGTGCTTGTTATTTAACAGATCAATTCATTTAATCTAAATAGGTCAATTCATTTAAACTTTCTAGAGCATACTGGAACCCCTACCAGCAGTACACGGTTGGAAGGTGCATTAATTCACAGAGCACAACTAGAAATAAACAAGACTAATCTCACGAGGCAGACATGAAAATGAGTCTCATTTCTTTATAACCACTCCACAGAGTCATTTCTTGTTACACTAAACACTAACATTGTAATGTGTTATACCCCTGAGTGCTAGTGCCCATACTTCTCCAGAAGCATCTCCAGAAGCTTAGTAGTACCAGGTACTTATTTACATTGTTTCATTTAACCATCAGCAGTACCATATGTTAAGACCAGCACTATTAGCCTCATTTTGCAGACTGTCCAGGTCACACAGGGAATACCTGGCTGAGCCAGCATTCAAACACAGGTGGGTGGGACTCTAAAGCCCCACCTCACGTTGCTTCAAGATTCAAGCCTGCACCTCAGTTGTTAGTCTCCTTTACATCAGCAAGTGACATTCAGATTAAAAATTTACTACTTTAAGGGGCGCCTGGGTTGCTCAGTCAGTGAAGCGTCCAAATTCGGCTCAGGTCATGATCTCACAGTTTGTGGATTCGAGTCCTACATCAGGCTCTGTGCTGACAGCTCAGTGGCTGGAGCCTGCTTCAGATTCTGTGTCTCCCTCTATCTCTGCCCCTCCCCTGCTTATATGCTGTCTCTCTGTCTCTCATAAACAAATGAATGTTTCAAAAAATATTTTCTAATTTACTGTTTTAAAAAGAAAACTATTCCTTTGAACAATTTTCTACCAATTTCTCTGCTGAAAGAGTACTTATTTATAATACAGTACCTTAAAATGAGTCCATAGAGAAGTAAAAAACGGTTTTTTTTTTGAAGTTTTACACATTCAGTCCATTTTGTCTGCATCAATAATAAAAGCATAAAATAAAAATATACTCAAGTATAGGATATGATTCTAACTGCATATATTTGGGGTAAATGTGATATAAAATTCAATTCATTTCACAAGCAATTACTATAATCTAATTCCAACAGTTATTCTAGTACCTCCTTGGCTGTTTCTAGAATTTAAGTTTTGTTGTTTAAGTGGTTTCTCCCATTTTTCTCAATTTCAATTACATAAAACTGTTTTCTTCTTTGGTCCAAATTTTGTGTTTCCTATATTAAATTTGTTTCCTCTATATATCTATACCGCTGCCAACTAGAGATAATAAATTTTGAGTGACTGGTCAGGATTTATTTTTATATTCTATGTTATTTCTTTATACATCAGAGTATGAACGAAAACAAGTATCTAGAAGACCAATATTTCTTCAATTTTCACCTTGTAGAAGCTGAGTATTAAAATAAAAATAAATTAAACTCTTTGGCTAGGAGCTCCCTGGCCATATTTCTCTCACTACACTGGGTGTCCCTATGCCCCTTTTCAATCTTTTGTATACACAGTCAACAAAACACTGTATGCACTTGGGAAGCACCTGGCCTGTCAAGGTCCATTCCCAGAATTAGTGATGAACAAAGAACCGAGGGAAAGGCCGAGCAGTGGCTCCCTACCTGCTCTCAAGGGAAGAGGAGCCATATTTTTAGATTTGAACCATTGTCCATTGGGGTCTGCCAGCAATCAGTTGTGTGACTTTAAGAGTGTCAATTAGAATCAGGAAGCTTGCCATCCTGAAAAGACCTCAGCACGACTTGAGTTGAGGTCTTCATTAACATCCAGATGGAAAAAAGATACAAGGATTTGTAAGTGACTTGACCAAAATTAAAAGGCTGTTAATGGTGTATTGTATTCAGAGTTCAAGTCCCTTCCAACCCAGTGCACTTTCTACTAAACTGTTATTTACTAGGCATCAGTTTCTTCATCTTAAGAGGTTATGATTACTCTCTCTTTGTTCATTTCCTGTACTGTAGAAAAGACCAAAGAGACAAGAATCTGGTAGCATCTAAAGGGCTAAGAGCACTGGGGTGCCTGGGTGCCTCAGTCGGTTAAGCATCCGACTCTTGATTTCGGCTCAGATGATGGTCTCGTGGTTCCATGAGATTAAGCTCCGTGCTCTTAGCACAGAGCCAGTTGGAATTTTCTTTCTCCTTCTCTCTTTCTGTCCCTTCCCCTCCCCTCTCTCTTCCTCTCTCTCTCTCTCAAAATAAACAAATAAACTTAAAATGCTAAAAGCACAAATCAAAAGTATTACCAGGTCTTGTCCTCATCCAACCCTATCACTCCTGAAAATTAGCCTGATTATATAATGAAAGCATTCAACCTGTCACTTCCTCAAAGATATCAGTATGAGTCCAATACAACACGCCTTTAATCTGCAATTTACCAGTAGACTTCTGATCAATAATCACTACATGTGTTGTACCTCCGGCTTTGAACAGCAGGTATCAAAATTTCAATCATCAGGTAGATCAGAGTTTACAATCAGGGAATCCAGTGTTGTACATAGCCCACAAATGTGTTTTGATCTATACAATTATTTTTTAAATAGCAAATTTAACATTAAATACATTAAAATCCAGATTTTCAGCATCTCTTGAATGCTCCCCAAGAATATCACCCCTCCAAAAAAAAAAATTATCCCCCATCGAGATTAAAACAAAAACTTTTAAAAGTTAAAAAAATAAACAAATAAAAAGGATATTATCCCTCAGAAGATCCAAGGACACCAAGCCACTTCCTCACACAGCAACTAGCAACTGGAGCTGAGCGGCAACAGCTACCTTCAGACTGGTCACATGCAGTCCAGTTCACCAAGGTCTGTCCTGCTCTTTACCATGGGCACTTGAGCTGGAGATCCCGAGGTATATGCTCACAAGAGAACTAATATCTGTTTACTCTTTTTTGGCCAATTTTTTCTGGTGTTATTATTCACCGGCTATGGGCTTCAGGCAATATATTAACCACAAAGCCTCGGGTGCTCACGTGTTCAACGGGGTTAATACCACCTGTATCACAGGACCACGAAGAGTGAAGGAAATATGATATACAAAAACATTTAACGAGGGTCCCTGAGTGGCTCTGTGGGTTAAGTATCCGACTTTTGATTTCAGCTTAGGTCATGAGCTCACAGTTCTTGAGTTCAAGCCCTGCGTCAGGCTCTGCACAGTCAGCTTGGGATTCTCTCTTTCCCTCTGTCCCTCCTCCGCTCACACATGCACGCTCTCTCTCTCAAAATAAATAAAACATTTTAAAAAATTTAATGATGACTAAAATACAAGTGCTCAATTATTAAATTTAGCACAAACTAAAATATGTTAACTTTTGAGTCAAAACTTCTAAAAACCCTCAAACTCACAGAAAACACAAAGTTGGAGCTCCTCCCACATGCAATGGGACAAAATTCCTAATATTATAATATAGTGTCTGTGGCTTTGTCCTTAATAATAAGGCCTATACATACAAATAACAAGTTTCCAGCAAATTCTCTCACCTTAATATATACAAATCCACCGAACTGCAAGTTTCTAAAGTCCTCAGTCATGAGTCCACAAACAAAACAACCCTCCCCCCCACACACACACACGTACAAAGAAATATTTAACGTGACAGATAAGACCATGAGCTTCAGCAGGGGCCACATTCATTCTTCAATATCCCGCTGCCTCGCATAGTGAAGGCACACTGAAGCTATGACTCAAGGGCTAGCATCTCTCTGAAGTCTCTTCAGACGGTCCCCATCCACATCACAAAGAAGAGTGAAGATCCCAAAGTCGAGCAGATAATAATCCCCTCTATTCATAGCTCCAACAGATGCAAAACCTCAAGGAATTTATTTAACTTCTCTGTGCTCTAGTTTCCTCATCTGTAAGATCATGATGCTAACACCTTTCCGTACAGGAATGAGATAATGCATTTAACACAATGCCAGCATGAAGTTAAGTGTTCATTAGCTACCCTATCAGGGTTCCCCTTTGTGCACTACAGTACCCCATGGGGACTGCTGTCATGGTAGCTGTAGTACTTTACTATAGTTCACCAGCACATACTTCTGTCTCCCCGACTGGAATGTAAACTACCTCAGGGTGGGCACCTGATTTTCTCTTTGCCTCCCCAGGGTCTTCCATTTTCCCTCTCACTGCTGAATGAAACACAGATTCTCAAAGCATTTAACTACAAAACGTATGAGCAGAAACTGGACATGAACTCTCTTAACTGACACTGAAGCCCTCACTAACTCTGACCCCCGACTGACCCTCCAATTTGTCTCCCCACTAAAAGAAGCAATGGCTTTATTTAGTCTGGTCTACTCACCACTCTAAAACCATCACAGGCATTTCATCTTTGCATCTCACACTATCATTTCAGGGGTCCCTGTATCAGGCCCTTTATCCATTAAATATTCACAACCCTCCATGAGGTCAATATTATCCCCCTATCCCAACCCATACTGGAGGAAAATAATGATTAGAATTAAGAAACTTGCCAAAGGTCAAAGAGTAAGAGGAGGGACAAGGAAATGAACCCAGAGTTCAGGTTATTCTCTATAGAAAGTATTCCATCCGCATATTCAAAGCTGAACTGACCCACCTATCACATTCTTGCCTTGGAAGATCACAGACTCCTCTACATTTAAAGGACGAGCTGTGCCATTCATTGTGATTCATATTTTTTTCTCTTGTTGTTATCTCGATATGTACTTGCATATAGAGTGTTATGTGAAAGGCGGCAAAACACATAATGAAAAAAAGTGTACATGTAGGACATCAGACAGACCTGGGTTTGAATCCTGTCTCTTTCTGGTACCAGACATGTAATTTATCCTGAGTCTTCCTAATCTGTAAATTGAGGTTAAAATCATTAAATAAGAGAAACCGACATATAGTTTCAGTACACAGTAAATAAGAAAAGTTAACCGTACATTATGATGCATTACTTGACCACAGCACACTCCTCAAAAGCTAATGACCCCACCCCCACCCCCACCCCCCCCACCCCCGTGCCATCACAGTATCACAGAATAAACCTTCACACAGTGTACTTATCACTCGATCTTGGAATTATTTCCTTATCTCTCTCACTAAATTGAGCTCCCTGCAGCCAAGGACTGAGTCTTATTTATCTATAAACTATCTAGCATGGTACCTGCTATATATATATATCCATATATATATTTACATACATATATACACTTATATACATATGCATACATATGTATACACACACATACACACACTCAGTATAAGTTTGCTAAGTGAAATTACTACAGATATAATGAGCATTTATCAGGATTCCAGAAAAGAAATCTTTTCCAATCGGGGTTGTCTCAAGTTGGTTGAGGGAGACAGATTTAAGCTGGGCCCTGAGTAACATCTCAATAGGTGGGAAGAGAAAAGGAGAAAGAAACCTAGGCAGGGAGAATGTCCTACCAAAAAAAAAAAAAAAAAAAGACAAAGAGAAAAAACCAAGGCGATTTGAGGTCATACTTATCTAAAGTAAAGGATCAGGGTAGGGAATTACGGAAGGGGACTTTTTCAAGCATTGCTGGAGCCAGATCAAGAGGCGTGGAGGAATGTGAGGACAGCATGGCATCACAGCAATTTAAAGTAGACAGGAGCACAAAGTTAAATGACAAAGGGGCCACGAGCATGCCTCACATGCCCCAGCAAACTTGCAAGAGTGTAAACTGGAAAAGATGAACACAATTATCAATGCTTCATCAAGAACTCTTTCAGCAATGGGGCGCCTGGGTGGCTTAGTCGGTTAAGCGGCCGACTTTCGCTTAGGTCATAATCTCGCGGTTCGTGGATTCGAGCCCCGCGTCGGGCTCTGTGCTGACTGCCAGTTCAGAGCCTGGAGCCTGTTTCAGGGTCTGTGACTCCCTCTCTCTCTGACCCTCCCCTGCTCACGCTGTCTCTCTCTGTCTCTGTCTCTCTCTCTCCTAGAAATAAATAAAACATTATAAAAAAAAAAAAAAGAACTCTTTCAGCATTGACTACGCACCTTGTGTGGACTCAAAGAATGAGGAATGTAACATGGTGCCAACTTTTCGTGTTCCTGTAAGTTCTTAAATTAGTAATCCACCCTTTTGCTTGTGAAAAATACAATGAGAACGATCACTTTGTTTTAACTGATGTGATTTGTAACATGATTCTTTTGCACAATGCCAAGTACTGTGTGACAGGCTTCAAAAACTACTTCCATTCGTTAGGATTAAAATTTTAACCAATTTCTGAGTCAACTTTTGGGTCCCTGGTTAAAGTAATACTCTTGTTTAACGTACTTTTTTTTTTCTTAGCCTTATCCAGAGCTAGAAGAGTCTGCCACGCTCGTAACAAAAAGCTGAATCAAAGTCCCAGCAGCGTTCCAGCTAGAAAAAAAAAGTTTTGTGGGCTGCTTACCCCTTTGGGGAACTGTGAGGAGGGGCCCTAGGAATCAGGGGCCACACAAACAATGCTTTAAAAACTTAATTTTCGTGTTATGAAGATTAGGATACCTAGATGCTGCCGAGTAGTAGGGCCAGAAACTGCCGGAGCCAACCCATCCCCCTCCCAACACTACGCAGCCCACAGGCTTCTCCTCCCGCAATCACACACCCAGCTGTCAGGCTCGCAGCAGCCTCCAGCTCTGGAAAGGACCAGGAAACGGATGCTCAATGTAGAAGACCTGATCAAGGGCCAGGCGGACTACCCTCCGGGGCAGCACCCAGAGCGGAGGAGTGAGGAGGGCCTCCAGGCTCCACGGGTGGGCTGACGGGAGAGTGAGCGAGGGGGCTAGTGGCTGGGGCAACCTTTACCTGAAGCTGCTGCCACACTACGGGCCGGGTGGGCCCCGGGACACGTTCCTGAGGGAAGAGCCCGGCTTCCCCGCGCCTCCCGGCCCCCTGCCCCGGGCTCCTCACTCTCGGACTCCTTGGGGACTGGCGCTCTTCCCGGCCGGCTCAATTCCCGCTTTCCCAGCTCGCCCTCATGCCCGCACTGCTCGCCGCCGCCGGCCAGCCGAGCAGCAGCCCTGTTGCCCCGAGCCGCGCCACGACCCGGAACCGCACCCCGCGCACCGGAAGTCCCCGAGTGGGAGGAAGCCGCTGGCTGGGGACGTAGTGCGCAAGCCCCAGAGCAGAGAGCAAGGCGTGAAGTCCTCCCGGGGGGCGGGGCCGAACGAGAGGACTTGCGCATGCGCTGCACTTCTGCGGTCTGGCTAAGGCCGGAGTCCGAGATTAGCTGAGAATCTGGTACGCGCACCAACCCGTGCATTTGCGTCGGATAGAAATCAACATTAGCATTCTCCTTCAAATCCCCTTCTCTTTAATCCATAGAAAAAAAGTCCTCGATTCATCCAGAAATGAGTGATGAGGCAGCTTTGCCTCTGGGTCACAAAGACTTGGGACTTGGGTTCAAATGCCAACTGTAACCAGCGAATTCTCAGAAAAGACCCCTCTCCTCGCTGACTCTCAGTTTCCTCATCCATACAGTAGTTCCAACTTTAGAGTATCCCGGTGAGAATCGAATGGGATGATGCTTTTAAAGCACTGAGCACAGGGCCTGACACAGAAATACCTAGTAAACGGTAGTCATTACCCTTATCTGTAAAATGGAAATACTTCTCTTCCTCAAGAACTGCAAAGAATTGGGTCTCAACTATACTTCCACAAAAGTAAATGAAAAAAATTTTATTTAAGAACTGAAGGAAGGTTTCCACTAGACAAGAGGACTGGCACGGAACAGGAGCTCACTGCTGGAGGTGTCTCTCCTGACAGAATCAATGGGGAAAGCCACGGGGAAGGGAAAGATGGACCCAAGTGGTGCAGTGATATGTTATCTCTCCTGAGAAAGAGTCCAGAAAGCCTCTCAAAAATGCAGCTTAGCAAAAGAAAGAAAAAAAAAATCAAGGCGGAATTTCAGCCCTGGAGCATCATTACACAATATTAAAGTCACCAACAAATACACCATGGATCCTCCCCATCTATTAAAATATGTGATTGATGTAGCTTATACAGACGGGGGAAAAAAGCACCTTAATACCCAAATGTGCTCTTGCGCACACAGCACCACAGTTCCGCTGGGTACCGGTTGGAGGCACTCTGCTAAAGCAAAGTGTGTGAACAAGGTCTGAAAATCCAAGGTCACCAGGTCACCTCCTAAATATTAATCTTCATTTTCACTTCCCTTTTGAGCTCTAGCCTGAAGCACAGCTGCTGTTTGTCCCTCTGACACATAAAAACTCAACCTATCTAAAACTGAAATCAACTGGACCCCCTAAAGTTTGACAGGTTCTAAGGAATTGTACCTCTTACAAGTTTTGTGACTTCATTCTCCAACAGCGCCTCTAAATTTCCTTATCTGTAAAATGGAAAGACAAAAGTCCTAATTAATCTCATTGGGCTGTCATGAGGATTAAATGCATTAATGCATGTAACTTGCACAGAGTAGAGTCTGCCACATAGCTAGTCAGTAAACATACTGAGTGCTTATGTATTAAGTTTATCCTGGGCACTGGAGATTCGGTGGTGAAAAAAACAGACAGGGACTCCACCCTCATGAAACTTACAGTTAAGTTTGATTGAATTTGAAAGAATAGGCAAATCGGAAGGCAGGGAAATATAAGATTTCAAGGACAATGTTGGGGACCCCAGTTGAGAATGGAGACTGAATTTATGGTAATACTACTATAGTGGTTTCTGTGGTTGTTCTAAAACTGTTAGTTTCAAAAGTCAAGATACAGGCACACAAAGAGTAAGCAATTAGGTTAATCCAAGGAAGCAGTTTTGCCAGACAGCTGTGATGGGGTCAAAGAATTTAAGACTTTAGCTTTTAAGAATGCTTAGAAAAGGGGCACTTGGCTGGCTCAATAGGTCAGCATGCAACTCTTGATGTCAGGGTTGTGGGTTTCAGTCCTAAGTTGGCTGTAGAGGTCATTTAATAATAAAATTTTTAGGGGTGCCTGGGTAGCTCAGTCAGGTAAGTGACCGAGCAACTCTTTGATTTCAGGTCATGATTTTGCTGTTGGTGAGACCGAGCCCCATGTCGAGCTCTGTGCTGACATTAAAGAGTATGCTTGGGATTTTCTTTCCAACTCCCTCTCTACTGCTTCTCCCCTTCTCAAAATAAATAAACTTAAAAAAATTTTTTTTAAGTAAAATACTTAAAATTTTTTTAACATTTATTTATTTTTGAGAGATGGAGAGAGACAGAGCATGAGTGGGGGAAGGCCAGAGAGAGAGGGAGATGCAGAATCTGAATGAGGCTCCAGGCTCTGAGCTGTCAGCACAGACCCGATGTGGGGCTTGAACCCACAGACTGTGAGATCATGACCTGAGCTGAAGTAGGACACTCAACCAGGTGAGACACCCAGGTGCACCAAAAAGTAAAATATTTTTTTTTTTTTTACAAATAGTTTATTGTCAAATTAGTTTCCACATAACACTCAGTGCTCATCCCCACAAGTGTCCTCCTCCATGCCCATCCCCCCC